CCTGCTCATTTACAGTAGTTTTCGCAATAATTTTCAATGGACTACCGTATCAGCCTGAAAATTCAGGCTTGTGTGATGACGCCACGAAGTTGTGTGGATCATTGGAAGCACAAACCAGCTGTGGTCAATGCATCAAACAACATCCGGATTGCGCATGGTGTCGGGATCCGGTAAGAGCATTTGGCAATAATCTTTCAAACTCATTTGAAAAACCTAAAAGTAGCGGTTGTCTTGGCTCGTAGCTCACGATCCATGAGAGAAGCATTTTCGGGAATTGGGCTAGGTATGCAAGTTTTCATACCACTAGGATGTTCTAATGTATCTAAGAAGCTGGGTGCATAGCGGAAATTTATCGCCCTAGCGCGGCGCCAAACTCTAACCGAGTCGTTCACACCAAACTTGATATCGAGTAGCAGGTACGGAAGAAAACATTACTTGAGAAACACTGGTGAACGAAAAGTGTGAAGCTTCCGTTGTTAACCACTCAATAAGCTTCTCTTTGGGATACGCCACGTACTCAATGTACACTCGGAATCATACGTTACTTTGAATGCGGTCTGATCTTTACAATTAAATCAGTTAATGTACAAGTCAGTGTTCTTTCTATCCGGCCGAGTTTGTTGTAAATTTATGAATCTGGCATGAATCCGCTCCCCTCCCCCCTTCCCCTTCCCCCATAGAGATCGAATCGAATCTGGCCTCGTGAACCGATCGCGATTAGGCTCCCGGTTCACGTGCGCAGTAGGCAGCGCCATTTGCCAGTGCGCCATTTCCGATACTAGAAGGGAAACGCCTATTCGCGCTAACGAAAAGCAGTGCCTAGGAGATGTTCGTCTCGTCAAATATTCATGCAGGCATGACGCTTGAGGAAGACTAAGCAGGGTCGGTAAGTCTACTGAAAGTGATCCACCATACAGTATCGGGCACGGGGCACGTTGTACGTTGAAGATACGCAGCGGGGAGGGGGGCATATCTGATCGCTTGAGGGAGAGGGGGATAGTGTTTGTCTGAGAATAATGTTTCTGGTTGTTGACATTTCTCGGTTTTCATGTTCCATACAGCTTTTTGAGTGAAAACTGGAGAATTTTCGGGAGTACGAGGGAGGGGGGGGGCGTGGGGGGGGGGGGGTGGGAAGGCTCTTCGTACCAGAGCAAGTTTTGAGAATGATCGCATTTCGCAAAATTTCTCCCCAACGACAGGTGTGCCCTGATCGAATTCGGTCAAGAACAAAACCTTTCCCGGCGCAGAACATACTCCCGGTTATCCTTTTCCCAATCGGTGGACCTTTTCTGAGAAAGTAAAGGTGATGCGGATGAGGAGGGAGGGGAGCTGTTTTTAGGTAGGGGAAAAGAGAAGATGTCGTACCTAAGGCAGCGGTCTATGCAAAGTATCTTGTCCCGATAATGACGGTGCTTTAGAGCTTCCAAAATACGACCCCTTCCCGTTTGTTCATCAGGATGAGTGATTTGGGGGGGAGGGGAAGGGGGGAAGAAGGGCAGACATTCGATTAACAGGCAGCAGTAGAAACGTTACAGGCAAAGGGAGGACTTGAAATCGAAGAAGTCCCATCATGAAAAGTAATAAGGCCTCGTTTATCAATTTCAGGATTCCCAGGGACGACACTCCAGGGTGAGAGTGATGCTCGAAGTGGTCAAAATGCTACCTTTCCCAGTTTTCTCCTCCTAACGGGTATCCGAGAGAGGGATAGTGAGGGGGAAGGCAGGCAATCGTTCAACCATCAGCAGCTGAGACATCACGATCGCAGAAAGGAAGGAATCCTGGAACCAAGTAGGACCTTCATGAAACTACAAAACGTCTAGGCCTGAACGTTGCCATAAGAGGTGACCCTATTCTACGGAAGACCCTGGATGAGGGAGATGAGCGCCGACCACGGTGCAACGAGGAGTACCCCGTGTTCATGGTATATTTTTCAGCACAGTACCGAGCAAAATCGATGTAAAGTAAGATCGGCGTTCAAGACGGAGACATGCAATCCGTCCTACGTCTACTCGCCGGCTACGGAGATTCGAATTGGTCCACACGTGAGTTTTCCATGGAATATATGCTATTTCTATGTTTGTTTTTGAAGATAGCACGATAGCAATGCCCTTCAAGTATCACCTCGTGTGCGGGGAAAAAACGAAACAGTGTAATGTTAGGAAAACGTAGTAATAGCAAAAGTAAACTCCCAAGGTACGCTCTGCCAAACGCTTTTCAACGGAGCCTTCGCTATTTCTTTCGCCCCAAATGGAACCGAATGTCAGGGTCAACTGAAGGGTCTACTTTTATTCAAAGGAAAGTTTCTAAATGACTGGAAAGTTTCCTCGGTAATGAATGAGGTTTTACAATCTGCACATTCTTCTAGTTTTTCTTGGGACAAAGTTTTCCATTTGTCTTTATGGATGCCGTGTTTGTGGAAGGGTATAAATCACTAACGAGCTCCAACCACTTTTCCGTTTTCTTTCTTTTCCCATCTTTCTCTGGATCTTCACTGCTGCATGAAATATCTCGTTAAGCCCTCAAAAATAACCAGCAGCGTTGGCGAACGCTTAAGCGCTGAACACGGGGGTTGACGGGGAGTGGGCGGGTGTTCTCGTCCGGCCATCACAGTGGTCTCGATGAACAATAGCATCTGGCACCATGACTGTTCATCAACTATGTAATGACCATTATTTGGGCTTATAACTGCGCGAAAATTCGACATACAACAAGATGTCTCTATGGACTCGAATAGGGGTGCTCGAGTAATAAAAAAGATTCAGAATAACCTACGTTAACAATATGAAAACTACTAGGGAAGGTCGTCAGGTCGAAGTGGCCATTTGTAATGAGATGTAGCTCACTAGACGTGGTTTTGGACGCTGATCTCGAATCTGCCTTTGAAATTTGCAAAGCGATTCTCTGAACGGAGTTATGGAGCCGCGTTTACCACGCAACAGGTCATGGGATCGGATCCCTGCTGAGCTTAACTTTTTTGCTTCTTGCGCAAACGTGGCAAAAAGTGGTTGTAGCGTCACTACTACATTAGCGCTCTCCTAAACTTGCCTGAAAAACAGTTTGCGTTCGCTTACTGGCGCGCTTGGTGCCTTATGATCTAGAGAATTTTGGATGTACAGGTGCCCTTGGCGCGCAGTGCAGGCGTTTTCGCGCTGAGCGAGTGCCATATTCGTATTTATGGGGCGAACTACGCCTAGGTAGAGGTTTCTAGCCAAATCTGCATTTTGACCTGACTTCGAAAAGTGAAGCATCCATGGGTTAGTTCAGTTGATGTTCACACCTATTCAGCTGCAGATACATTCTCCTGCACAAAGCCTCGTCTTGCCACTTCTTACGCATTCATGTTGTTACTGCTCCAGTTTTCCTGGTATCTAAAAGCAAATTCCGTCCAAAGACAAGCAATCGACAAGAGACTGGCCCTGGAACTATTGGTGACCATCATTCGATCAACTGCTACCGCACTTTTCAAAGTTAGGTCAAAACCTCACATCTGGCTAGAAACCTGTCCCCAAGGGTAGTTTTGCTCCCTGAACACGAATATGGCACCCATTTGGCGTTTGAGTGTTTTCTAGACTTAAAAGAGACATTCCCCACAAAATGCAAAACAAGTTCCCTTCCAGAAATCCGAACCCTTCATGGCATGCCCGCGAAGCAAGACCGTTACCACTAGATTATGCCGCCTCAGCGCATAAAGGTGCCAGGGCGCATCGCTGTTGGGGAATCCCCAAGTAGGTGGGGACGGTGCTTGCGTCATTATTTGGGAGGGCGGAGGGTCGTACTTACGCTTTGGCGTTGTGGGACGAGGTGGTATATTCGTGCATCTTCGTGATTTTCCCTGTGTCATGCCTACTATATGCCCCCCCCCCGCTCGACAGCAAAATTTTTGGTAAAAAGTAAAAGTAGGAAGTTTTCGGGAAATTTTGGAAAAAAGTGGCAGGAAGTTGGAGAAAATCTGAAAATTGGTAGAGGGGGGGGTCGTATTGTCTCGCCATTTTTCTTGTTTCACATGTGCTTCAACCACCCCCCCCCCCGCTTACGACTCGATTCATTCGGTGAGGAAGGGAGAGGAAGGACTGCAGGGCTGCGGGTCGATACCAACTCCCAAAAAGAGGGGGGTCATACAGACGCGGACTAAAATCCCCAATCAATGATGTGCCCTGAAAGGTGCTTCGCGGCTATTCATGCAAGTTGGCCGGCGACCGCGCTCGACTCTGTTTCCTTCATTTTAATTCTAACAAACCTTCATAATTCCTTTCAGAGAATCGTTCTGCAAATTTCGAAGGCAGATTCGAGATCAGCGTTCAAAACCACGTCCAGTGAGCTACATCTCTTTACAAATGGCCACTTCGACCTTGGCGACCATCCCTAGTTAGCAATTTTTAACTGTGCAAAGTAGGCACATATTGCAGAATATGCCGCTCGGTTCACCAGGATCAGGAAAGTCGATTGTTCAACTCGAACCACAACAAGTCGTTCTTCGAATGAAACCAGGTAACTAACTTTGGATTCAAATATACGAGAATTCCACGCCCTATTGAGTCACGATAACTGCTCATCTCATCTGAATATCAGCTGAGGCACAGTATTCTAGAGGACAGCATTCTGTAGTGAAATTCGTTGAACGAAATTCGTAACATATAGTCTTGTCGGGGAGAAGTTGAGGCGTGTCAGGGATGGATTTGGTGCCGCGCCAAACCCATGCTCTACCAATTGCTGTTGCTTCTCAGCTTCAAAAATTAGTGGAGAACAGGCTGGACGCGCCAAAGCCGATCTCTCTGACACGCTTCAGAGCCTGGAGCGAAAACGACAGAGCTCGGGATTTGCTTCCGGTCACCAGCCCTCGTCTTCTCACCAATAACAAAGTTCAGGGGAGACTCATCAGACTTGAGCGAGCTGCAATAGTAGCCCCCGTATCCTTAATAACCCATGAAAAGAATGAAAATGGAAACAAATTGGGTAGCTCACAATCATTCTTCCAATACAGGGCAAAGATCCCACAAAGACCAGATTATCCCGACCGCACATCATCACTTTTTCCTATGGGTCTCCCGAAAAAAAGGTCTTCCAGACTCCTTCGGACGAGGGGGTAAAAGATATACGCCCTCGATTCACTTTCAGACATTGAGAAATTGGCAAGCCGCAGACTGTAAGACAACCTATATGTGTTCTCAGAGAAAGATTCAGATCACCAGCTAATTGTCTTTTTTCATCAATAAAGACAACAAAAGGTGGCACTAGTTACCCTCCACAGTCCCAGTTTCCGAGTTTCGGTCAGAATTTCGATTTGGCTGCAAATCGGTTTCCAGCTGACAGGTCAACGGGCTCTTGACGAGTTATCTCTCCTGAGAGCAGATATGGTCAAGATCTGTTGCCTGGGTAGTTCATCCAGCTGAAGCAGGAATGCCGTACTTATGAAGCAAAAGCGCCTGACGTCTGCGCCACATCTATCGCTGCCAAAACACATCAAGTCGCTGTACTCTCTGGAAACATGTCTCCTGCGGTAGTTGAACTTGGTGGACAAGAATTTTCTTGACTAGTAATGTGAACGCCTAAAACGTGCCAAGTTTTTTCGCTCCAAGCTCAGAAATTCACTTCTGCCCTTAAGACAAAATTCTAGAAAATCTTTCTCGTGAATAAGAATTTCGTAGACCGAAGATTTGCGAATAACATTCGAGAGTAGAGCAGTAAAGAGTGTTTAAAATCAAAAACTCTTCAGTTCACTTTTAGGCGACACATTGACTGTGCCGTACAAGTATTTGCATCGTAAGCCACCTCCTGGTTATGATGTCAAAGATTTCTTGGTTCAAACGAGTGAGTACAAGAAACTCGGCGTCAATCTGCCGTTAATAAAAATTTTCGTCGATGCAACTGGTCGTTAGTTTCAAATACGTTTCCAGAAGAAGGCGACTGACTTAATTGATCGTGGGCTGATGTCAAAACATGGGCTCTTTACCTTGCAGGCGAGATTGGTCTTTTGATCGCCATTTTCATTCTTGGAAAAACTGGAATTAGGGGGGCATTTTGCGGGAACGACCATGTCTTGTCTAATAAATCTTTAATGGCATCAATAAGTTCTCGCCGGGGGGAAATCCAGGCATATTGAGCCAAGGGAGATTTGGAACCGTCTTGTTGACGCTAAGTGTCCTGGAGAAAATTCGTGGCATTCATTGACGTAAGCAGAGTCTATGTAATTGATTGAATTTTTCAGAAAAGAGGTCGAAGCTAAGCAATGTAATGCAATCAGGGAAGGTCAAAAAATCAATTTTAAAATCAAGGTGAGTTGAAATTCACAAGAACAGTAAATGCCCGAGTATCATAAGTAACCGGTTATGAGTAATTTTTTAACCACTCATAACTATTAACTGCTCAATGACTGCTCTGACTACATAAACTACCAAGGAAGCTTGTATTAATATGCAGCAAGTACTGGGGGTGCCTTCATACTTTATGGCAGCGACCACCTGCGACCAGCAGCGTGTCGAGCGTCAGTAAGCATCAGCCAATACGAGAGTAGAGATATCGATCCAGCGACCAGCAGCTTCCAGGAGTGGAGAGTATGGGGAGATAGGAGGGCAGCAGATAGCTTGTAGAGTATGTCATAGGACGGAGGTACACTTCTGATAGAGTGTGGGGAGATAGGAAGGAGGCAGATAGCTGGAGCAGAGAGTATGCGGACGTATGAGGTTCTCTGTCTGCTATACTCCTACTTCCCCACGCTCTCCAATTCTGAACGCTGCCGCTCGCTTGTGGACCCAGGTGGACGCTGCCGGTCGCTACCGATGCCTATGCTTCCTTAGCCTTCGAGGCGATCATTGTCGCTGACGGACGCCGGTGGACGCTGGTGGACGCTGCTGGTCGCTAGTGGACGCTAGATCGATACATAGTCTTTCCTATTAGCTGACGCTGACGGATGCTCGAGACGCTTGTGGTTGCTGCCGCAAAGTATGAACACAGCCTGAATGACACTCAATACTTTCCATTCTACATGACCGCTCAATAAGCCCAAAGTGTAAAGTTGGCTCTTATTTTCTGGAGCAATCTAGCTATTTTCGTATATGTTTTCCGAATTCTCGTCTGTTTGCTTATTTACCACCAATATCTACAACGCATCGCCAATGCATAGGACGTTGATCGATGCCTTTTCGTGCAGAAATTAAATGACTTCTGGCCCACCGTGTCGGGTTTGACGAGGAGCTAGTCACCGTGAGATTTCCTAAGAAAAACACCAGGAAAGCGGTTTAGGTGGTAATCCATTCGAGCGAGGTTGGGGCTATAAGGTATGTACAGAAAGAACATTCTCTCCAAGCGTTTTTTCCCAGGGATTCTTTCGAGATCTGGGTTTAACATCATCAGAAAAAAAAAGCTGTGATCTACCTTTTTCGGTTGCTGACGATGCAACCAGAATGATAATAGTACGGTTCCCCATTTTTCGCAGTATTAGATGGCAGGGGTTCTGGGCGCAGTTCGGCGACGGGGGGGGGCATTTTGCACTTTTGCTACTTCCCATCGACGTGTCGACCTATCTAGACAGCCTCTTCTCGAGTTGACAGGTTTTACCATGATGGCTTGACGACCTTGCTCCAGCTTCACAAGAGTTCACAGGTTTCACCAGAGTGAGACTTGTAAACCGGAACTAGGGAAGCAATGAAAGTACAAAATGCCCCCCCGTCGCCGAACTGTGCCGGGGTTCTGAGTTCAGCATACCTCACCAGGCAGCAACTCATGACGTCCGTCATTGGACCAACTTGGATTTGCAGTTATTAAAAATCCTGCCCTGATTTACTATGTACGCTGGATAATAATCACAGAGTGAAATGAAATCAAGAGGGGCGTAGTTATGTTATATGAGGTCTGGGACTGGCGCTGGCTCACCATATCCGGTCAAGAAAGGGAAGGCGGGGTTTTTCCCGTCGTTTGGTAGGTCTTTGCTGCAGGCCATCATTCCGGCAATCCTTACGGGCGTTCATAAAAATATGCCAGTGAATGGGTCGTGAGAAACTGGAGTAGCAGCCATGGGAAGCAGCAAGGGAATGAGCTGAGCATCGCACATCTGGTCGACATCACAGCAGGCCACAAAAATCAAAATGGAAAGGGAATGCAGGGCGCATCCCAGAAAGGATCGAGTGATTTATGCTTATGCTCTTATCAATAAAAACAAATTGAAGATTCAAAAAACGGGGAAAACTCATAGATGAGCTCCGGACATGTTATAATATGATTGAATTGATAATAAAGGCGACGAGTTTTTACACTCCTTATCCCTGAGGCGGAGTGGGCGTGGCATTTGAACGTAGCATAAAATGGGTTATTCGTGGAATATTTCAATTCAAGGCAACTGTCCTCTTGTTCTGTGCTGGACAAAGACATGATTACAACTGTCTCAAGATGAAAAAATCTCGCGAAAACTTTGGCCGCCGCCACGTCCAATTCAAGCACGCAGCCACGCCCACCGCATCACAGGGTTTTTGTGTATACAATCCAAACATCTACTGCCTTCACCCTAATGTCGTCAATTGAATTAGGTGACTTCAATTTTTATGCTTTCTCGGGTTGCAGGTAACCCTGATGGACTGTCGCGATGGTGCTGACATCGCTATTTCTGTTGGAGTGTACGGCTATACGACTGTGTCTGCTCTTTATATCACGCCGCTCTGCGGTTGTGAATGCGAGAAACCTAGTCAACAGGTGCAGTCAATTACTTCCACAATATTTTGTCATTTTCAATGCATTCACAATTCAGGAGAAGAATTCGCCACTCTGTCACCAACACGGAAATCTCATCTGTGGCCAATGTGTTTGCGAAGCGACTCGAGGAGGAGATCGATGTGAATGTCCATTGGCAAGCTATGGGGTAAAGAACGCACTCGAATTGGAGGACCGATGCCGAGAGTAAGCCGTTTATAGCCTTGGTGAACGCATTACGGGTTCTATGACATACATGCGCAGTCATACAAATTTCTACCCGCCGCCTTTCTTATGATCTACGTAGCAATCTTACGTGACCTACAGAAAACAAAACGCATTTCGGACACGGAGACATATCTCATGTGAAATTGAACGATGCGAATGCTGAGGCGTGCCAAGGGCCTGGGTTGGACCGAGGCACCAGTCCGTTCTCCACCAGTCGTTGAAGAGAGCAAGCGCGAGCAATAGGAGAAAGCGCTGGAGCACGCGTACTTTATTGGATTCTGGTTAATCAGATTCCATTCAGGAAACCCGGTGCTCCTGTATGTTCTGGTCAAGGTTTGTGCAGGTGTGGACAGTGCCAATGCAACTTGCAGACGGTGAGGAGTTTTGATTTTCATGCTTAGATGACTATAAACAAGGACGCCTGCGCTTTCAACTTCTTCATACTTTAGCTTCCAGTAGTACGCACTGAAACTTCGCCCACTGAGCATCAGCTTTGAGGTAGTATAGTCTTGATCCCTACAAACGATAGGGCATGTGAAGGGGTGTGAGTTGGACTGCCCAGAACAGCATTTCCCGCTAATTGTCGCGGACTCAGGATGGCATCATTGGAGGAAAAACCGTTTGGCACCGCTCAACTCCACCCTCTGTCACACGCCCTATCCTTTGTAGGGAACATTACTGCACAAATCAGGATCGCATGTTTCTGCTCTTTCTTCAAAAGGAATACATAGCATCCTCTTCAACACATGCAGTTTTTTTAACCATGAGTTTTGAGAAAAGCCGCGTTGAATGCACGGCGCCTGGTACGCCTTTCCGACAGCCAAGGCACAGTTGCATGGGAGGCTTCATCTTTGACATCGGCTGGCAATCAGACAACTGACACCATTATATTACAGTTTTATGATTCCCGTGGTCCTAAAGGAGCAGCATAAAAGTGGGACCCATTGCATCTTTGCCGTTCCCAAGATAAACAACAAAAGTAATATGCGGGACGACGATGACCTACGTTTCAGGAGTATCTTGCAGACTCTGAACACGGGAACTGCATAACTCCTCTTTTTTGGAAAGAGCAGACAAGGCCCCGCAGTTCCCGTCCATGAGCAAAGATGCAGCTTCCATCAGCATCCATAAGTTGCTCGAATGCCCACCGTAGAGCAGTCGCAGATCTTGGCGGCATGAAAGGTTTCGTTGTCTCTTGGAGTGTCGTTATGTGGGAATCCATTAGAAGTCTTTTCCGCGAAACTATGGAATACGAAATTACCCGCTGACCTATCTCTATGCGTTGGATCGTGATTTTTTTTCTACGATCTGTCACTTTACGCGCAATCACATTCACTCCATAAAATTGTATTGGCCCCGCCCCCGTGACCACGAGGTGCTCACAAGGTGTGCTTCCTGAAGGACTGTTCGCCGCAGGCTTTGCTGCGATTAACGAGTGGCGTCGGCATTGAGTAATTCTTGGCTCAGGGTAGATGTAAAGCCAGATAATGTGGAATTAACCTGCTTCTTCATTTTCGCTCTCTTTCAAAAGGAGAACTAGAGGTCCTCCGAAAAAAAGAGGAACGCTCCCCAGCAGTCAGACCACCTTGCTCACAACTTTAATCCCTACATTATCACGAACATATCCCCATTTCCTCCTACTATTTTTCGAGTCGGAACTTCTGTTCTCATGAAAATGATGACGAAATAAACTGAAAAGAGCTGCTGAGGGGCCGCTTGGAATTTCCCAACTATGCCCTGGCGGTAGTCTTGTTCGCTGGGATGCGAGGACGTGTCAGTGGGCGGGGTGAGGTTTGGAGCGGCGTTAGCCCGTTTCCCACCAGGTATTGTCGCTTTGTTGCTTTAGCAATTGGTGAAGAACAGCTGCCAAACACATTCCCCGTGACACGCCCCAGCATCCGCAGGTGGCACGACAGTGCACACGTTGATTGTGCGCTTACTACCTCGTACACCTTTTGTCCCCTCAATCCATCCAGTTTTTCATTCCACGTCCCACCTCATAAAAATCCTCAACAGTATCGAAAGATATCAATTACTCTTGATCACAAAAACCGAAGAGCTCTGACCAGACCGGGGTGTGAATGGTGTAACATATCGGATTTCTTTCTGTCACAGCACACGTATAATATCTCAGCAACACTCCGAGATACAACGTGTACCAAAAAAAAGTAGGAACTGAACTCGCTCTTTCAAAAGATCAACAAGTTCAGTTAGTAAAGATGACGGTCTGGAGCGTAATGGAGCTTGTCCGGTCAGTTTTGATGCAGATCGTTTTTAGTTGACATGGGTATTGATCGACGCCGGCCGCTGGTTCATCGGGAGAGTACGGGAGAATGGGACGGTGCTAGACAGTATGATACAAGTCATACAGTACTGGTCTACGGTGTGATCGCACAGTTTCGCTACTGTACTATAACGCGTACTCACACATCCTAGTACTCTCCTATTCTCCTGTCCCCTTCCGAAACACCAGCGACCGCCGCCGAGATACCCGCCTATGGCTGCGATCGCGTGTAGCATCAGGGCACATCCTTGTTGGGGATCCCCAATATGGGGGAGGGTCGTATTTGGTCTGAGAAAATTTTTTTAATAGTTGATTTTTCTTTTTTCGGAGACCTTCAAACGGGGGGTCGTATTTGCTCGTTACGGAGAAGGGGGTCGTATCTACCCCGTGACCTTCTGAG